ACCACCAGACAGCAAATGTTGATTGTAGTGGATAGTTTTTCAAAGTGGATGGAAGTATTTTTAATGGGTTCTATTTCCACGGGGAAGACCATTGAGAAACTTCGTACACTATTTTCTGCTTATGGTTTACCTGAGGAGTTGGTGTGTGACAACGGCACGTCTTTTACCAGCCTAGAATTCAGGGAGTTTCTTAGAAAAAATGGTGTGAAACTAACATTTTCTCCACCATATCACCCTGCCTCCAATGGAGCAGCCGAGCGTTCTGTTCAAGAAGTTAAGAAAAGTTTGTTAAGGCAAGTTTTGGGTGAAAAATCATCTCAGCAGACATCACTGCAGTATAAATTGGATAACTTTCTTTTCGCATATCGTAATACTCCATCGTCAGTAACCGGTGTGAGCCCGGCTGAACTGTTCTTACGTTGGAAACCTCGAACAAAATTGACTATGTTAAAACCTAATCTACTAGACGAGTCAAGGAAGAAGCAGGAAATGCAGAAACGAGCCTCAGATAGGCATAGAGGTGCGTGTAGATTTTTTAATGAAAATCAGAAGGTGTTGGTTAAAACTGTCAGACAGGAGAAAGTTAGTTGGGTTCCAGGTCGTATATTACAGTGTAAAAGTCCAGTTACTTATTTGGTTAGTGTTCTTGGCAAAACAAGAGTTTGCCATGCAGACCATCTTAGACCAACTGAGGTAGAGGAGGACGAAATCATTGTGCGGAAAGAGGAAGTTGGAAGGACTATTGAGGCACATCATCAAGAATTCAATAGAGATTTGCCTATTCTTCAGGAGTCTACATCACCATCAATATCAAGACATGATGCTTCACCTTATTTGCCTAGATTGAAGTCTGATGTTGGGAAACCACGGGGTGTGCAATACAGTCCATCTACAGTTTTGAGGAGATCACAAAGGACTGTGCACAAGCCGGAGAAATTGGATCTATAAAGTTGGAGAAGCCAAAGAGTCAGAAGAAATTTTAAAGTTTTAAAGTATTATGAGCCAAGCAAATTTTAAGTGTTGGCGAGTGTAATATATGTTTATATTAATTGTACAAGAAGCAGCATTTGATTTTATAATGTTGGTTGGATTCCAGATGTTAAAGACTTTTGTTTTGTTCTGATTGTTAATTTTGTAAATAACAATAATTATTGAGTTGTGATTGAAATGGAGAATAAATTGAATACACTAGATTTTATCTTGTTCTTAAGGTATGACTACTCTACTGCCCCATAAAATGCAATTTTTATCCACTGACAATTCATCTCTCCTTCTCTGAAATGGAATTAACATTGGGTCTACAATTTCACGCCACCCATACAACACAAAATCCCGAACTTTAGACAACAGTGGGTCTTTATCAGTCAATTGTCCTATCTCTAAAGAAGTGATTGGAGAATCGTCACTCCCCGAATTGAAGAAGTTCATTTCTCTTACACAAGATTCCACATGAGATATATAATTTTCATCCAACTCCAAAGTTTCATTCTCGGGTAGTGGTAAGCGTGACAACGCATCAGCGTGAGGCAAACTGGAACCCTTCCGATATTTTACCTCAAAATTGTAGGCAGACAAAATCAGGGCCCATCGTTGTAGGCGAGCAGCAGCTAAACTAGGCACCCCTCGCTTCGATCAAAAAATAGCTGCTAGTGGCTGATGATCACTTTGTAAAATACAATTGGTACGCCCATAAATGTATTTATGGAATTTCTTCACTCCAAAGATCAGTGCCAACGCCTCCTTGTGGAGCTGTGAATAGTTCTTCTCGCTGGCACTCAGTGTTTTTGATGCAAACGCTATAGGTCTTTCTTCTCCGTTTATGATATGGGACAAAATGGCAGAAACTCCTTTAGGACTAGCATCACAAGTGAGCACTAAAGGTTTCAAGACATCATAGTGTACTAAAACATCAGAACACAGAACCCAAGATTTACTTTCTTTGAATGTTTGAGAACATTGCTCGGTCCATTTCCATGGAACATCTTTCTTTAACAGTTCATAAAAACAATGAATTTTAGCAGACAAGTTTTGAATAAATTTTCCATAATAGTTTATTAAACCAACATAAGCCCTTAGCTCGTCTTTACTAGTAGGTTCGGGAGCTTTTTGAATAGCTTCAACAATACCTTGTTGTGGACTGACTCCTGATGCTGAAATGACGTAGCCTAAATATTCCACTTCAGGCTGTAAGAACTTGCATTTACTTCCATTAACTTGTACTCCAAATTCCATAAGACGCTGTAACAATTTCTCCAATCTATAAAAGGCTTCCTCTCTTGTTGAGCCGCCGACCAAAACATCATCTAAATAGGCTACAGTACCTGGTAATCCGTTTATAATTTGATCGATCACAGCTTGAAATATAGCTGGAGCTGAAGAAAGTCCAAATGGCAGACGTCTTAGTCGAAATAGTCCCTTGTGAGTTGTTAACGTCAACAGATGTTGTGAATCCTCCGCAACAGCTAATTGTTGATAAGCATTAGTGAGATCCACAACTGAAAAATATGTACAACCAGACAGAGAAGCAAATATATCCTCAGGTTGAGGTAATGGATAATGTTCCGTCTGTAACACCGGATTCAATGTTACTTTGAAGTCTGCGCACAATCGGACACCATTAGTCTTGGGCACTGTAACTAACGGAGTAGCCCATTCTGAACTAGAAACTCTGTACGCTATACCATCCTCAACCCACCGATCTAATTCTTGTTCTACTTTTTCCCTTAACGAGTAAGGCACAGGCCTAAATTTGCAAAACTTAGGAACAGCATTGTCCTTGAGAGTGACTTGAGCCTTAACACCTTTTATTTCTCCTGGCCCCCCTTGAAACACTGCATTGTACTTTTTCTTTAACGCCTCTACTTCAGCCTCAAGTTTGCCATTAGGCAACACAACTTCACAATTAGATTGCTTCAATTCACATGTGGTAACATTCACTGTAGACTTAGATTTAGTACCAGTAGTACCATACGATCTTGAAAATACAGCATGCCAATCCAACTTTAATTTTGCTAACCAGTTCCTTCCAAGCAAAATAGGCTGGTCTTTACGACAAACCTCAACAATCAATAGTGGTAACACTAGGTTCTGGTTTTTATATAAAACTCTAACCTCAGCTTGACCTAGAACAGGCACGTCACCACCTGTGTAAGTTCGCAATTTCATAGAAACAGGCTTTAATTCAATATGAGAAAAATGTTCATTAAAAACGTCTGAAGGACAAACTGATACAGCTGAGCCGCTGTCAATTTCCATCTCCACCAGAACTTTCTCTATAGTTAGCCTTACCTTGTAAGCTGCCATACCTGTGTTTAATCCATAGTTGTACAAACACACATTATTTGAAACTTCATAGCAGCTTGAGCTAAGCTCATTGACATCATCTTCGGAGATTTGATGGACTCTATTAGCACCTGACTTGTCCTTCCTTCCAAATTTTGCAACTTTACTTTGGTTTCGGCAAGCTTTTAGTAGATGCCCAACCATGTTACACCCATTGCACTTATAATTTGCATATGGACATTCATTGGCCCTATGTTCAACTGAACAACATCTGTAACACTTAAATTTAGCATTAATATTAGTCATACCAGCATCAATAGCTGAATTGAAATGACAACCAGTCTGCCTATTTTGATTCACATGTGAAGAATTGGGCTTGGAATTTAAATGACAAATTTCCTGTTTTGGATTGAACAAACTTGTCTGTTTTTCAGCCTGCTCTAATCTGAGTGCCAAACTATAAGCGTCATCAAATTCTTGATCCTCAGACAATAATTTTTGCCTTATGACCTCATTACTTATCCCTGAAATAAGCTTGTCTCTAAGAGCCTCTTTTAAGAATGTGCCAAATTTACATGAACTAGCTAAATGTTTAATCGCTACAACAAACTCTGAAATACTCTCACTAGGTTTTTGCACACGAGAATAAAAAGTATACCGTATCTCTCAGCTACCACCAATTTCTTTGGAGAAAAATAGTTCTCAAGCACTTTAACTAACTCTTCATAACTTTTGCTATCTAGAGCTGCAGGTGAAACTAAATCAGACAAAATTGTTAAAACTTTTGGGCCTACAACAGTTATTAAAACAGAAACTTTGGTATCTTCATCAATCTTATTAGCTTTGAAATAATGCTTAAGCCTCATTACATATGATTCAATGGACTCATCTTGTGGGTTAAATTCACCAACTTTACCTATTCCTGCCATCTTAGTCTTTAAGTTTACCTCCCTTTTTTTTCTTGAAGTTTAGATTTATCTTCTTCAGAATCTGGTATAAAAAAAAACTTTACTTTTACTAGACTTACTATCACTCGGAACGAGGTCCGTTTAATTCGACTGCGCCATTGTAATATTTTATAAGAACAAGATAAAATCTAGTGTATTCAATTTATTCTCCATTTCAATCACAACTCAATAATTATTGTTATTTACAAAATTAACAATCAGAACAAAACAAAAGTCTTTAACATCTGGAATCCAACCAACATTATAAAATCAAATGCTGCTTCTTGTACAATTAATATAAACATATATTACAGCGGTAAAACCCCGTATGTGTGTGTCTGTATGTGTGGAGAGCTACAACAGACCACACCACTGTTGTCCAATTTTAATTAAATTTGGCATGTAGGCACTAAGGTGTTTTATTATTTTTTTTATTTTGATTTTTAAAGGTGATTTGTCCATATAAAACCATATAAAACATAAAAATAGGATTTTTTCAAAAATGGCCTAAACGACTTTGATACAAATTTAGTATGTTATAGTCCTTTGAATTCTGAACAAAATGGTACAAATCCCATTTCCATAAAAATTACGCTTAAAAAGTTATTGCAACTTTTGTGATTTTCTCTTTGAAATATCATAGTTACTCCCACAGCTTACCAATGATAAAGGTTGTTGACAAGCTAATGGGAGAAAGTATGCCTCAGATTGCTGATACCGTTTATTTAACTAGCTGTTAAAAAAAAACACAACATGGACAACACCTGTCACCTAGCAATTCGCTGATGGTCTGCAGCCTGTTCTGCAATTCTCTCTGCTGTCTGGCCCTAGCTCCCATCCGGTACAGGAGAACCACCAGGGCAGCTATGAGTAGAATCAGCCCTGTAACATTAAAATTGTTGCTAAACTCAAGCTCTCCAATGTAAAAAGATACAAGACTGGAGTCAGCTGATTGCATACTGGCATGGAGAGTTACCCAGTTCAACATGGGAAAACCTAAGATACCGGTGCTAAAGTACCCTACTCATCCCATCTATGGACAAGCTGAAATCAATTTTATATTTGAAATACCTCCGCCACTGCAAACCCTGCAGACTAAGGGAATTTCCATTTACCTGCCTAGATTTCCATTGACATATTCCCTTACAATTGTATCAGGATATGTCCTACTATCTGCTGTACCTGTGCTTTGCAACAGAGAGGACACTGAAAAGAAAATTTTGTTTTTTAAATCTTGTAAAAAATAGCTACATATCCGCCTTTGTTTTTTGCAACCAAATTCAATTGGACCTCTTAGTTTGAAAAAAATATCCTTTAAAGTTAAGCTAACTTATAAGGCTACCTAGTACGAATTATATGAGGTTGCTGATTGGCATGTACGAAAATAATTTACCAATACAATTTAATTATCAAATGAAACGATTATTTAAACTTTATTTACTCTGAAAACAATCAACATTCACCTATTAAACCTATTAAAGTCAATAGGTAAAAAGGAATCACACAACATAGATTACTGTATTGATGCAAACACAGTTTTTATTGATTTCACATAAAATTGATATGTTTACCATGTAACTATTAAACTTTTGTAAGTAAAAGGAATCTTTACCTGCAGCTCATTATGTAAACTATATCACAGTAAGAAAAAAATAAAATAATGGCAAATTGTATTACTTTTGTAAGAAAAATCAACCACTATTATTGTTAATCAGGGCACAAATTTCATCAATGTAAATAAGACATCAACAACAATAAATAACCTTTCTTATTTTTACTGTTCCAGTTCACTTTATTTCATTAATTTACACATTGAGTAAAGAAGAATAGTAATAGATTTTTAATTGATTTTTAAAAGCAAAAGTGAATTATTGTGTACAACTTAGTTTTGTGATATTCTCCTTGGTTAGTTAAAACAATGTTGAAGAAAAACGCTCTTCTCTACTTTTTCTCTAAATGTAAACTGTAGGTACATGGATTATAACGCTATAACATGCTACAGTATCTACCTAGACTACTGATGACAAAAACTAATGTTGCAGTCTTTAGGTCCGGGTAACGTTCCATCTTGGGGAAGTAGTAATTCGGTGTATGGGAGTACCATCTACGATCTACAGGCTCAGCATCCCATTCTGCAAAATTACAATTTCATACAGTATTGAACCTTGCTACCATAACATAGAACCAGTGATGGGGTGTCCACTAAAATCAATGGATGAAATGACAACTACTATCCATCCTCCTTTCCAAATATTTTCATACTTTCAAAACTATAAGATCTCCTGAAAATTAGCTCTTCACTATCAATTTTGTAAGTTAAATACCCCATGCTGCCACTGCAGCAAACCTGCAGACTAAGTAAAATTTCCATTTGCCTGATCATATTTTAACATGTTTCTGTAAACATGTCATATTTATTTGACTATTTAAATAACATTAGGTTTAACAAGTACTTAGATTTTCTGCTACAGGGAAGGTAATGCGAAGTGTTTTTGTGAAATATTAATAGTTTTGTATGGAATGAATAAACTTGCCACATCCTATATAAATATTTCAATATCCAAGCAAGCTACAATAATGAAGTATGCAATTATTATTCCCTGTAAGGTTAAGATGGGATACAATGTGCTGTATGTAGCACTTCTTCAATATCTCAGAAACTGAATGTCATAGAGCAGAAATGCTATGTACTAAAAAAAGTGTTAAGGTCAGTGGTGTAATTATGGGGGGGGGGGGGGGGGTTGAGGGGGATAGAACCCCCTCAACCAGAAAAAAATACAGTTGCTCAAGTTGATTGAAGTTTAAAACTGAAATTGATGATTTAGTTTTGAGTTGGTTTTATTAATCTATTCGTTAAAACTATTAGTTGATTTGTACATATATTAAACTACTAATTTAAAAGGTTTTTTAATTAATACACCCAGGCAGCGGGAGTAAATTTGGAGAGTGGTAGTGGTAACACTGCAAACATGCGCTGTTTGCTGTATGCACTAAGCAGACATCAGACGGAAACGGCTTTTAGTTTAGTTAGAGCTTAGTTACTATTCATTCTAGTGATGGCAAAATTTTTCAAAACATCCATATCATACAAGTATTCTGAAATACATTGATGTTATTAAATAAAATCTTGTGTATTGTTTATTATTATCTGGCGTGGTGTCAGGGCCGTCAGGAGGGTATGTCAGCCAAACCTAAAACTAGGAGAAACTGTAATAAGTTGGGAATCACGCAGAAGGCGGGTAAAAAACAATCGCGTTGTTACCAATAGTGATACTTCTTAATCAAGAAATACTATTTTCTGAATCTGACCGGTAGGAGACAACCTCAATTGGGTTGATTTTTGGAGTTCTTTGGAATGTGATTACACTTCTGGAATGCCTAAAAACACAAGTTTGGAATTCTATTTTTTCAAAAATTTCCGGGGGGTACCGGGACTCAGGTTGAGTGCAGACTTGGAGCTCATCTATTCCCCCCCAAAGCCATGTTCTAGCTACACCACTGGTTAAAGTTATTTCTATGGTATTTTAGGCTTAAGGTATTCCAACCAAAATACGTTTAACGGAGAACAAACCCAATCCGCTTGAAGAACAACTGACTCTTTTACTCCATACATCTTGCAAGTGACTGACTTGCTGCTAGAGAGTCCCTATAATGCACTGAAATAGAGTAAACATGGAACCTGAACATGACTTGAAGGTTCAATTAATTATTCCTATGTTTGTAAAAAACCAACTAAGAAAAAACTTTAAAAATTAGTAAATATTTTGTGACGCTTGTACCTCTGGTGCAGGTGTCAGGCTCATCACTATTGTCTCCGCAGTGGTCGAATCCATCACAATGTAGCTGCGCAGGGATGCAACGGTGATTCTGACACAGATAGTCGGACCCCGTAAAGCAATCTGCAAATTGTAACAAGTAACCAGCAACTTTTACAAGCTTACAAGTAATGTAAGCCTACAAATTTTTATGTTTCATGATATATACAGGATTGGGCAGTATGAACATTGGACACCCCCTTGTTAGCTTGTAATGGGTTACACCAGGAAAATCAAGCTCTGACAACTGTACGTAGCATAAAAGTACACTTTTTTGTTGGTATACCTATCAATTTTGTCCGGAACCCCAAATTGGGGTACAGTGGTACAGTATTTTAAGGGCAGCTCAAAAATTTCAAATGTACTAAGGCCCTCAAGGTCATCAAGTGGCAACTAATTTTAAAATTTAAAAAAGAAATATCATGTATACAACATGGGTATAAAATGCCTGGTTTTCTGTCTGTCCGCATTTGATTTTCACAAATGTGTCCATAACTTTTACATCCCTTAACCAATTGTCTTCAAACTTAGTACGTAAGTAGGGACAGTTAAGACAAATATTTGAACATAGTATCAAATTTATAAATCATACCAAATAAAAATGGCGGTCATTAAAAATTTTCTATCTCAAATATCTTAAAATAAGAGATTAAAAATTCTTTTAAGTACAAACTGTTAGGACATTTTATTACTAACCCAACAATAACTTTAAATTGAACAAATCAGATAGTAAACAATTAGGATATTTCATTTTATGTGAGACAGTGCATGGCCTACTCCGCCTAAACTGACCTACCATACCTCACTGACACTAAGTGGCAGGGAGCAACAATGGGAAAAATTATAATAACATCCTTCATTCATTAACACGGTCTCAAAAATTGTTGTATCTGGATTGCTTATTAACCGATCTTAAGGAAGTGTCGTTAAATTAGTCAAACTATTTCCTAAATACGCTTACTTTTATACTTTTAATAGTTTTTAGTAAAATCACTTATTGGGAAATAAAACTTTTAATGGTAGCCATTTTGATTTGGTATTATATATAATTCTGGTGCTTTGCTTAGTGCTAATATCTGTCCTCTTAATACTTATGTATTAAGTTTGTAGTATACAGAAGCGGTTCAAAAGTAATGGATTCATTCGTGAAATTCACATACAGACAGACAACAACCAGGCATTACAGACCTGTGTTTATAATATGATGGTTTTCATTGTTTCAAACAAATGCATTATAGAGAGCATTCATAAATACACCCTGTATATGAATTTGGAACATACAGTGTTTTGACCTCTTGTGGCATCAAAACAAAAAAGTAAAACTGTACTGACTCCAGGTTTTACCATGAAACCTACGGTAACAGCTTATTCCTTATACGAGAAATTCGCTAATAAGTAATAACTTGTTCATTTTGGGACCCAGTAACAAAAAAGACAACTGACCCATGTAAGTGAATGCGGTGTAAACTATAGCAAGTCGAGACATGGAACTGAATGTTCCCCGAAGACTAACGTAGAAGCCAACATTGAGAGGGAGGATGTTTTCCCTGCGTGTGCGGGCGTGGGCCGGACCTAGCTGTGCAACAGGGTGTCTCACTGTCTCCAGGATCGGCCCTTCAGACGTCAGGCCTTGGCGGACAACCAACTCCGTGCTTCCAGCTGGTAAAAGCATATTCAGTATAATAACATCCTTCTTATAACCAAAAATAAGGAGGCATGTTAAAATTCATTTTTTATTTATATAGTGACTAGCGGAATACCCGTGCTTCGCTACGGAAACTTTCAAATTGGTTGAAATTTGTAATAAATCAAGTCAGAATTCAGTCAAGAATTCAACTACCAGTACAACATATTTTGCTCCAAACAATGTCATATTAAAGCAGCTCTTATGTCTCACCCGGTCCATAAAGTGTGTATGCTCAGGGTGGTTTCCCACGACCAGACTGCATAAAGGTTCAGGTAGGTGCTGCAAAGGTAGTAGCTGCACTTTACTACCATTGCAGCACATGCCCGGGGTTTCTTTATTTCCATTTTAAGGCCTCACAGTTTTTACATTTGATCATCATGGTACCTACCAAGCTCTCTCCTTCATAATCTATTTTCAGATTATATGTCATTGCTAGATTTTTCACCATCAATTGAATCTTTGGTGAATGTCTTTAGGATCAGTTTGTTCATACTTTTTGCTTGCATTCTTCTTCTGCTTTTTGCTATGTTTATCCGTGCACCCGCTACGCTGTATTCCACCTACCTTGTGGGGAAATTTTGTTTCTTCCTTGCGCTCCCAACAAACCTAAAACCTCTTGCGCCCCTGGGCCCAGGCCCACTGGGGGTATTTATTATAGCGGGTCTGAAATTATGTCTTTATAGTGAAAATATTCCAAATGATATTCAAAAATCAGTTTTATTTTTGCAAGAACTAAAGATAAAATAAATATTGTATGGTAAAATTTTTCTAGAGTCCATAAGAGGCAATATAGCTTAAATAATATTTTTGTTATACTGCAGTAAAAACAGCTGTTTTAATGCATGGTTTGCGGGTCTAAAGTAGCATTTTTACTCTCTGGGGAGTAAAAGGCGTTTTTAGCCCCCAGGGAGTAAAAATCAGCTGTTGTCAACTCAGTTGTAAATTTCAATTGTAAACAAATTTGTATGTATTGATTGTAGTTAATTGTTGCCTTAATGTAAATAATTCAACATATCGATAGTATAATGTACACTAACACAACCGTAATAGATAAAACAGTTGAATCACTTACTAAACAGCTGCTTGAAAACAAGTTAGAAGTAGTTTTGATAGGTTACCTTTAAATGAAAACTATTTTAATTTTGTAGTATAGTTTGTTCAAATAATGGTGCAATATGACAAAAAATATAGTTCATCACACTGGCCAAAAGTGTCTTTATAGTTTTGTATATAATTTCAGTTTACCCATATCAAGAAAGGTTGAGACTTTGAGGTAGATGTGTGTCTTGAGATGGTAAAAGTTAGTAGGAGGTCGAATAAGCCAGATGCAGTCATAAGATTTGATTGAACCACCTCGTTCCACCATGTTCATCATTGTTATTGCTCCACCAAGATTCTCAACATATCCACCACAATCTGTAATCAAAATTCAAATAGTTATAACCATCATTGTGACTTTTTTAACTATATTGGAATGAAATAATTCAGTATGGTACTTAGGCCTACTAGTTAATTGTCATTTGAGACCACACAAAATCTCATCTGTAACGTAATAAGTAAATAAGTACATACTAAAGCGATCCTGAATCTACTCAGTTTATAACCTAATCGATATAAGGTAAGTAATAAAAACATTTAAGTTATTAAGGTGGATTCGCTTTAACAAATTATCTTTGAAAACTGCATTTGGTTGTATAAACAACATTTTCATCAAAGCCTTTAGAAGCTTTGGCCAAAGGGGGAAAATAGTCCTCTCCGTTGCAAAGCACGGGTACAGCAGATAGTAGGACATATCCTGATACAATCGTAAGGGAATATGTCAATGGAAATCTAGGCAGGTAAATGGTCATTGGAAGTTCTAGCATTAATTTTGTAACTGTTTTTCTGCACATGTTTATTGCATATGATAGACAGGTCTTTGAACTATGGATTCAGACAGTGAGTGATAAACTACCTTTATGAACTAAAATTGGCTGACCTTTGCAAAAATGTTATTCGTCTTTTACACTCAATACTACAGAGTTATTAAATACCCCTGCTGCAGCAAACCTGCCGACTAAGCGAATTTCCGTTTGCCTGGATTGATTTTCAATTAATCTATTAAATTAAAAGTACCTGGGGACCGAGCTTTGCTCAGGGGAAATCATAAGTTTACTCTGTAAGCAGTCTTAGTATTGCTGATACATTAATCCATTCCCAAACTCCACACTGCTCGCCTTTACTACTTCCTCCACAACTCCATACGCCGTGGACCTGTTTCCCTCCATTTTATACCATTTTAGGATTGCAGATACCTTAATTTAATCGTCATAAACAGTTTCCACACTCCAGACCGCTCGCATTTACTACTTCCTTCACCACTTCCTACGTCGCGGACCTGTTTCCCTATCTTTCCATAGCATTTTAGGATTGCAGATACTTTTATCTAATCGTCATAAACAGTTCCCACATTCCGCATAGCTCGCCTTGACTACTTCCTTCACCACTTCCTACGTCACGGACCTGTTTTTCTCCCTTACCATATCATTTTAGGATTGCAGATACCTTATTCTAATCGTCATAAACAGTTCCCACACTCCGGACTGCTCGCCTTTACTACTTCCTTCACCATTTCCTACGTCACGGACCATTTTCCTTTCATTTCCTATAGCATTTTAGGATTGCAGATACAAATAAATAAATAAATATATCTTTATTGTCATATAAACGTATTACAGATTACATAGCATAAGCTACAAAAACAGGTGACATTGTCAATATAATCATATATCATAATAAGTACCTAAAATACTAAAAAATAAACAATGATTCTTAGAAATAATTATTTGGGTTGTTTTATAAAACATAATATTTGCTAATTTAAAAAATTACCATCATTCAAAAAATTCGTCAATACTATAATATATTTTGTTTACAAGAAATGAGGCAAGGGTGCTTTTAAAAGACGTTTTGTTTATTAAATCTTTATATTTTGGTTGCAGTTTACTAAACAATTTCTTTCCATATATTTTGGTGTTTTTTCTATTAATTTTAATCGGTGAATCGGAAACTGAAAATTCTTTTTGAAACGGGTGTTATATGGATGGTCAAAATTCTCCGCACATAAGTTTTCAAAATTTGACTGTACCATTAATAAGGATTTAAAAATGATTAAACTTGGTACAGTCATTATATTAAGTTCTTTAAAAATTGGTCTACATGAATGTTTTCGTTTAGCAAATGTCATTATTCTTAAGTATTTTTTTTTAACTTTAAAAATCTTCTCTATTTCTGATGAGAATCCCCAAAATTCAATCCCATAATGCAATATTGAATAAAAATAGGCATAACTAGTTGTTTCCAGTTAATAATCTTAACTATATCTCAATATATTAAACAAATTTAAATAACCTTTTAACTCTTAACTTATCACTACGAAAAAAAGAACAAACTTTTAAGAGCTAAACTTTTAATTACAATAAATAAAAATGTTAAGCTCGATACTGTTTTAATAAAGGTTCTAACAGAGTAGGCTTACAGAATACTGACTGACCAGTTAAAATTGTCATCTTACTTTTAAAAGTTAAATGAGAAACTCTTCCCATACTATGTTTTTTGTTAATACTCTAACGTCTTTAGCCAGATGACTTTGGTTTCGTTGTTCTTTAACCATTATTTTTTGATCATCAAAAGCGTGGCATCTTGACATTGCTACGTACAATGCCCCATGCTGAAAGCAGGACTCTGGCATATAAAGACCAAATTTTTCAAGTGTCTGTCCTTGAATTTTTGTAATGGTCATGGCAAAAGCGACTCGACATAAGAAATGTCGACGTTTGAATTTTAGGGGGAAATTTCCTTCTGATAGTTCTAAACTTAATTGGGGCAGTAACACTCGTTTTCCAGCCGAACTTCCAGTAATAATTTCAAGATTTAGGACTTTGTTATTCATCTCTTTACCATTAATCTGGTTCCATTAACCAGTCCTTTTTGTGGATTTAAATTCCTTAGTAAAATTACAATTACACCTTTTTAAAGGCATAATTTGTGAGGAGGCAAACCTCTTAGTGCTAAAGTGTGAAGAAATTCACCAGGTATATGTAACTGGTCACCCTCTTCTTGAATCAATTTGTCCACTGAGTAGTAAACTCGACTGTCATTATTTAGTTGCTCAACTATTTTATTATTTATTTCGTCACAACGTTCATTCTTTGGTGAAAGTAGTGCATGATTTATTTGTCTTTTTTAAAGCGTCTTCAGAGAATCCTTCACTGAAGATTTTGTCAATGATATTTTCATTCACAAAACATTGTGGTGGAAGAAGTATCAATGCATCACCAAGATCATTATGATAGCTCTCATGGCCATTCCCTATTCGGAAAAGATATTCAGCAAATATTGATTCCCTTGGATTAGCTCTCATGTTTTTAGCAAGTGAACTTTTTTTAAACATATTGGCCATAATGGTGATCTATCCATTTCATCAATCATCATTGTATTTTAAAGTAAACTGAAAAATAAACAGTAAAAGTAAATTAAAATGATATAAAAGAGGTTATTTTTATGAAGACAGATGTTTTTAAAAGGAAATGAATCATATGTTTGATAAACTTAACTAAATTTTCACTTATATTTAAAAATACATGGAAACTTTAAAGTCCAATGGGGCGAAGCACATTGAACTGAGCGTGACAAAAATTATTCCATGACTTCTTCAGATAATTCCCTTTAATTTGACACATCAATCATCAAAATCGGTTAATAAATAAAAGAGATTTGCTGTGCACAAGAAATTCCTTACGGAATTAGAATAATAGATATATCATTAAACGTGTTTTCATATCCAAAATATTTCTCAAACAAAGCATTTAGAAACAGCCAGAATTAAGCTTATGTAATATGTTTTCAATGCACTTGGCCCAGGTTAAATTTGAATCAACATACAAACCTAAAAATTTTGTACATTTGACAGTTTTGGTTCTTGTTTTATGTGTGAAATTTCGGGATTGTATCGTATTAAATTTTACTAGTTGTGTTTTTTCTGGATTTAATTTTAGTCCGTTTATTTCAAACCACCTTCTAAGATCCATTAAAGCGTCTTCTACTTTCACCCATAAATCATCCTCCGTTTTAGTTTTAACAACAGCAGTTGTGTCATCTGCATACAGTATTAAATTATGAGAAATATTTTCAGGTAAGTCATTTATATAAATTAAGAAAAGAAGAGGGCCTAAAATAGAGCCCTGTGGGACACCTACTCTAATTTCACTCCATTCAGATTTTGACTGCAAGCCTCCTTTTAAAACAACAGTTCTTTGAAATCTACCTGTTATATAAGATTTCAACCATAAAATAGATTTCTTAGAAAATCCATAAATTTCCAGTTTTTTCAAAAGAATGTCATGGTTGACACAATCAAAAGCCTTGGATAAATCACAAAACACCCCCATTGTACTCTGTGACTCATCCAAGGCCCATGACACTTCATTAACAAAATGGGATATAGCGGTCATTGTGCTGCAACCCTCTCTAAAACCAAACTGTTTACTACTAAATATATTGTATGTTTCCGAGAAATTATAAATTTGTTTATAAGCAATTTTTTCAAGAATCTTTGGAAAAAGAAGGTAAAAGTGATACAGGCCTATAATGGTCAGGATTATGCTTTTCACCTTTCTTAAAAAGTGGCTTGAGTTCTCCATATTTAAATTGTTTAGGAAATATGTTGTTTTGAAATGATTGGTTAATAATAATTGTGAGAGGTTCTGAAATAGAGTCTATATGACTTTTTTTCATGAGATCCACCGAAATTTCATCCCATCCCGCAGATTTTTTATTTTTAATGATTTGATTACTTTGACTACATCTTTTTGCTCAATGGCTTTAAAATCAAAATTAAATAGTTGTTTACTAGTCATTAAGTTCCTTGTCATATTTAGTGCCTCAAATTCACATGGTGATGTTCCCATTTCATTGGTTATATTGGTAAATTTTTATTAAAGAATTCAGCTATTTCTTTTACGTTGCTAATGGTTTTATTTGAGAGTTTAATATCAGGAAAACTATTCTTGACTTTTTTACAACCTAGCTCTGATTTAACAACCCACCACGCAGCCTTGCTCACATTTTCTGATTTGTTTATGAATTTAGCATTGCACATCCTTTTAGATTGATTACAAACTTTCTTGAAAATTGTTTTATACTTTCTAACATAATCCTTAAAGAGTCCGTCGTTTGATTTTTTTGCCAGTTTACTAAGTTCTGGTTTATTTATACTAGATATTCTAATACCCTTTGTTACCCAAGACTTCTTTTGATTCTTATTTTTGTTGTTGTAAAACTTTAAGGGAAAAGACTCTTCAAAAGTATTGTGAAAATGGCAAAAAAAGTTAATACAATTTTCTTCAAAACATTTTTTTACAGATACATCTTATTTT